GTCAGATATGTGTACCTGTCTGTTGTGAGTTTTTGATACCTGAGACAATTCTTTCTTTTTACAAGCACTGCAAAACAGTAGATAAGTGATAAAATATACTGCTTGTTCTTTAGTTCTGTGGTTTTGAACTCTTTTTATTTATAGCACACTGATCCTAGTTGAGACTGACCTTCATTTCCAGACAGAAGTTGCCATAATGCTCTGATATTCTTGGAATTTTTTGAAAATGTTACTTTCTCAGGAATGGGTCTTCATCCTTCAGGTAATAGTTATCCTTAAGTGAATTTATTTAAACTTTAATTGCTTCAGGGAACAGCCGAGTTGACTCAAAATTTATTTTCCAATGCAGAGTATGTAACAGCACCTTTGATCTTCCAGACAGTTTTGCAAGCATTGTTTACACAATGCTAATTATACACTAGAGCGTGTAATTTAATAGAAAAAAGTATGTACAGAATAATGAAAAAAAATTGAAATAGTTTCTTTTTTTGTTCATAATGTTCAGTATTTATATAATACAGAAGCAGCATTATTTGTTTAACTTGATACCAAAGCTATCTGTAAAAATGTCTTTTACTATATTTATAGGCAGAAATTAGAGAAAAGTTAGAAATGAATAAACTAAGAGAAGTTGCAGTTTGGTTTAAATCTGTGAAAATTTACAAAGTCTACATTGACTGCCATTTTTTCCTAGCATATTTATATAAATAGTTCAGACACAATGGCTTGCTTTGTATTAGCCAGCTAAGCATTTAGAAAGAGATTATTGCTCATTGAATAGTGCAATGCTAAGGAAGGGAACAATCAAAAGTGTTTATTTGAAACCATTCCATATTCAACCATTAAAAAAGAGACAAGTATCAAGAAATCATTGTTTCTTGAACTAACTTAATTCTGCTTCATGGTCTTCCAATATGAATTGCAATCCAATTTTAATTTTAAAAACTATTTTTAAAGCCATTTTGTGTCTACTGTCGTTTTAAAGTCTACTTGTACCGCAAGGTGTCTGTCACACATCTCCCTTGCCTACTCATAGACATATAAGCACAGTACCACATTTTTTTGCCCTGTTGTATACTTTGAGCTGAAATTGCCAAGTTTCCTAAAGAGCCTCAAAGTATACTTTTGCCTAGGAGGCATTTTAAGTGTTAAATACTATTCTGTCTGAATAGTGAAGAATTTTTTAAAACTTTTAGTTATCTAGATTTCACTGGGTCTTTTTGGGTTTTTTTGTTTGTTTTTTTGTTTTTTTGTTTTTTGTTTTGTTTTGTTTTGTTTGTTTTTGTTTTTGTTTTTGTTTTACTATCATATATTATGGTCTAATTCTTCATATATTTTACTACATCTCAGTTTTTTCCTGCTCTCTTGCAGGCTTGTACATAACTTCCATCCAGATACTTTTCAAGGCCAACACTTGCACTTTGTGTGAATTTGAAGTGTTTTATTTGGGAAATACTTGTGTCTCAAGCTCAGGCATTCATCAGGTGATTCACATCCTTCTACTTCAAAATTTTTGTTTCAGACTTTTAGTCCGATTTTTGTACTTAAATATTCCTCAAGTCACGCAAGATAAGATTAATTTCATCTAACTTCCTATGTTTAAAGTGTAAGGTTATCATGCAGATTAATTGTATTTAGAGATACATATCTGTGAATGAGGATTTCTTTGTATCCTAAGATCTTTACTAGAAAGTAAAGATTTCTAGAAAAGATATTAGCAAATACTTTAGAGTTGAATCTTTTAAATGGTCACAGTGAAATTATTTGACTTCTGCACTCAGAATAGATATTGGCTAAAGGGCCATATGGATGAAATAATTCATCAAAAACATTCTAATTTTCAATTTTAATTACTGTTCTTAATAAAACAGAACCTGTTTCAAACAGCCAAAACCTTTTCTAAATATCTGAGCAGTGTGGATATTAATGTTCAGGTATGTTTGAAGATTAGATCAAATCACAGTAAACACAAAGAACCAGAATTTAAAAAGAATGCCAGCAGCTTTGCATTGTGCCATTGGCTTGTCTGTATAGATGTATATAGAATTTCCCTTAACTGGGTGTTGACAGTAAAAATGAGATGACAAAGGTCATTAGGTTTTCCTAAAATATGAGTCATGTTTTTCTCTGCAGACTCTCCGCTGTAGTTAGTTGAGATATAGAATCTCCTATTTATATTTGTAACATTGTCCCTGTTGTGTTCTTGAGAAATCCGTGTGAGAAAGAGAAGTGTAATAAACCCTGGACTGGCAGATATTCCCAGAGATACACAAAGCCTGTGAACTGGAGCCAGCAGGAAAAGCAAGCACTTCAGCTGAAGCCCTTTTTTCCTTTGCACACATGAACATAAATGCATGAACACACACACACAGACACACACAGAGTCTTCTTCACTAAATGCATTTAATCAACCTTTAAAAACAACATAAAACACTCACTTCTGCAGTTCTCTTTTAATAATTTTACTAAAACAGTGTAGCAGTGAATGTTACTCAAAAGATACTGGATTTGTCTTTTTTGAACTTGGACTTTTGCAAAAGCTTCAGCATCGCACAGCAGTGCATTATTTAGTGACCTTCTGACTGATAAGACCTTCTTGTGATCACTGAAATTTATTTAGTTCTGTTGGTATGTGTGTGCTTCAACACTCTGACTTCTTCAGGCACTACCTGAAGAATACTAAGCAGCTTCAGGAGAGTATGATACAGTGTGAATATCTTTTAAGCTACTAGTGATGCCGGGAAATTTTAAACCAAATCATTAACATTAGATTTATTTCCTTTTCAAAGTATAATTTGAAATTTTAGAAAGTGAAATCTCATACTCTGCAACAGTTTCTAGTCTACTGTTTCATTTTGTTCCAACAGTTTTTCTATTTGTCTTTGTAAAATTTGACTAATATCTTCCAAAAGTACATTAGGCAATATGTCTGTCATGCTGTGTCCTCTCATCTCTTGACAAATATAAATGTTTGTGTGCAAACAATCTTTGCTTAATTAAGAGGAAACATAGTTGTTCTTCTGTGTTTGCAAAAGATTTATTTCTGTTAAGAAATTAAAATTCTTTCTTGTTATTCCAAAGGTAAAATTAAAGTACTTCACTTCTTTGGCTTATTCAAAAAGGCAATTGTGAATAAGAAAGTGAGTTCTCAGTATTAATTTTATTTGGTTTATATTTTTCCTATTAGATATATCAAGACTACACTTAAAATGTGTTGATTTTGAAATTTTCTATTTAATTATGCAAAACACTGTTGTTTCTGTACTGATTATAAACTACAGTTGGCATTTTTAATAGATTTACCATGCGGTGAAAAGTAAAATGGTATTACAAGAACAGCAGCACATGGTAACAGGATCTTGTATTTTTTGCCAACTGTGACTTCTTCCTGCCCTGATACTTTCTGACATTTTTAATTTGGAAGGGAATATATTGTTGTCGTATGTTTGTAACAGTAGAGTGAGACTAGCAAAGCTACCAATCATCTTCAGTGTTTATTGAGTAATAAATAATGTCTAAACTTGGAAATAGGAAATTTCCTGCATGAAATAAGGGACAGAGGAATTCAGGAGACATAGTTTTCTTGCACCTTAGGATTTAATATACACTGGTTTTTTTGCAGCCCTAACATTGTATGACCTTAAAAAAAGCATGCAAATTTTGCTGCACTGTCATTCTTGTTTACTCCTGTTGTGACCATCTTCAAATGGTTTAGTCAGAAATCAGTGATAATATTATTTTTCTCCACAACATTTTTTCCCACAATGAGACCTCAGGTTCCCTTACAGTCAGTTTTCACAAAAGCACAACATTCAGGTTTCTGGGGTTGAGTCGGTAGCACTGGCTGTTGTATTTTTCATAATAAATCATTTAAAAGCAGACTGAGTTGGGGGGAGATGGGGGTGGAAGAAAAAATAAGACCAAAAAAGATTCTTGGTTTCCATCAGATATAAGCTTGATATTTTCATGTAAGTGAATATATCAGTTTCTGGTGTAAGCATTATTTATGTACACAAGTGGAAAACTTAAAATATTTGAGGTAATCCTGCATCTGACGATGCTGGCCAACGTGGCATTTTGCTAAATCAGTGGTCTGGAACAACACAACCACCAGGTTCCTCCCAGCACATTAAACCATTAAATGCATCTATAAGTCAGTGTGCTAGAGTTAGTTACTTTTCTGCTTGGTGGACGAATGCTCTTGTTGTGCTCAGATTAGAGGCCACAAGCTGTAGCGTCCATTTCTGACAAACTGGGTCAGGGATATGCAGACCCTGTGGGTACAGGGCACATGCAAACCAAACACAAATACCTGTTTCCTGAGAGTCATGAATATGAACCTGGGGAACACCTTTGCCCTATAGTAGGAACTGAGTTTCACCTGAGATCTTATTTGTAGCTCTGCATTTTAAAAATCACTTTATGTGGTAGTGTGCTATGCCCCAAAGTGAATTCTGATGGTTTAAAACATGTCTGTAAATGTGTCTGTGTGTATGTGTTCCCTTTTGGTTAACAAATGCTTACAGACAATAAAGACACAAAACTCAAGACTGTATTTGAAACACGAAAGTATGCTTAATTTGGTACCCAAATAAATTAAACCAAATACTTAAGATCAAGATGTGTATGATGATGTATTAATATATTTCCATGTATATTTCTGTTTGTATACAGAAAAAAATTAATATATTATGTCTACATAAGCACTTATTTCCCTGTTGTCCTGTGCCAATTTTATAAAATCACTTAGTGGAAGTTGTGTTCAGCTGGTATGTAATATCAGGTTGCCCAGCAAATTATTTATTCAGGTTGTTCCACTGGTCTTGCCTACTCTTTTCTGTTGCTGGTGTGGCTTGATCCTCAACTATTCTACATTCTAAGTCAGAAATGCTTACACTGAGTTTATTATAGATCAACAGGAATGTTGATTTTATTGTAAGTAATGTGCTTTCCATGACTGTTCTTTGGTTTAAAGTAGTTGTTATTTGTCACACTGACAGGTACACCTACTGCGAAATGCTGGCAATGAAGTTACCATCACAGTTCAATACCTCAGGGAAGCTCCATCATTTTTAAAGCTCCCATTAGGTAAGAGGAAATTAGTGAATGGGAGTAATTTGTTTTCCTCTTTGCAGTATTCTTGTAATAAGCTGACAGTGACAGAAATAGAAATTCAATCCTTGAGTGCTTTACAGGAAGAAATAAAAAATTGTCTGTCTACTTTACTGTTTAACATATAAGAATCAAATGCATACTGCCTTGCTGCTTATGTATAATTTATTCAAAATAAAACTGAAAAAATATCATTAAAATGCAGTACAGTCATGGGTGATAGCTGAAAGTTTTTCAATAGAAGCTTTGCCTGAATACAATAAAATAGTGTTTGCAAACATTTGAATCATACATTTACACTGAAAGGTACTTTGAAGGCACTTACCAAATAAATGGATAACATTAATTATGTATGTTTCAAAATTACTTTTCTATTTTGATTGGTTTTGTCAGCGGAATTCTGTTGAGAAAACTGAGTAATTTAACAGTAGCAATACTAAAAATTGTATGAACAATACAGATCAGGGAAGTTTGGGGCTCTTTTGGTTAACAGATAAAATATTCAAGTTGCACAGTTGTGATCAGTGTTGCAAGTAGAAAAGTGTTCATAATAAATCAGTTTATTTAATCAGATTAAATGATTTTGCACCATTTTATTTTAACAGATTATTTTCTCTCCAAAATAAGCAAAAAGTTTTGAAATGTGTCTTGTTCTTTGGATTGATTTAGATTTTATTTATTTAAGTTGCACTCAGCTATGTACTAGGTTTTTTTCTAATTTCAGCAGACTCATAGATGTCACAGTTTAGACCTTGCCATTAAAAGGGTGTCAGTCATTTAATCTAGATATTTATACCTTTCAAAAGCCAATTTGGCAGGCCTCTACTAAGCTGAACTATACATTTCATGCTAGAACCTTTCTTTCAGTGCTTACTTCTTATCACTTTCATTTGAAAATGTATGGTCAGTGTTTCTTATAATGAGTCTTCAGGTATGGTCTTCCTACTTTTCATACTAGATCATCAGACAACTCTAAAATTGTGTTGACTGTGGCTTGGATAACTGTGTCCAAGCTTTAACATGATTTTGGGCAAATTAGCAACATCTACCAGTGGTGTCTGTGTTGTTGGCCATATTTATTTGTGACTATGACAGTGCTGCTAGAACTTGTATCTCATATTCTAGACTGACATCACATACTTGAACTGTACTGCCTGTTGTTGGTTAACCTTTGCTAAGAGCCAAACTCCCACTCAGACACTCTCTCACTCCCTGTTCTCAAACAGAACATGGTGTACAAATAGAACAAAAAAGCTCTTAGGTCAAAAGAGATTAGCTACTAATTACCATCATGGCCAAAGGAGAGGCAATGAGGAGAAACTTAGACAAATTTATTGCCTATTAAAATAGATTCAGGCAATGAGAAACAAAGACAAATAAATTGTCCATTGCCTTTTTCATTGACCTTGAGGTTCATTTGATTTTTGTGTCACTCTTTTCCTTACTATTGTCTCTGCCCTTCTGCATTTACCCTTTGTTAAATAGTTTCCCAGAGGCGCTACCAGCTCAGCTGCACAACCCAGTAGTAATGTGGGATCTGGATGGATCTGTCTGTTTCTGGCACAGGGCAGCCCCAACCATTTCCCACTTCTGGAGACATCCCAGCCCTTGCCACTAAGACCTAGTACACGCTCTACACAAGCTGGCTGCCACCTTCACAAGCAGTTCATGTAGGTCCAGCAATATTGGTGCCCTCTTTGTACGTCCTGGGGAGCTTGGCTTTCTCACCAGGAGATACTGCAGCTTCATTGTCTGGGTGGCTGACATCATGGCACTGCTTCCATAAAGTGCTATTTCTGGAAACAGAAAGCAGTTATCATCAGGGAGGCCATCTCCCATCTCAATGTTACCAGCTAGGAGTTTTTGGGGTCTGCCCCTGATTACTGTTCAAAGAAAATCTTTTCTGGAACAGCAATGATAGTGCCATTTTAGACAAGCTACCAGACTGTCAAGGAGCGCAGCAGTGCTTCTGAAATGGGACATCTTGTGCACAAACTGCTTATTTTGGGCAGCTTATCAGACTTGCTTCCTTTATGCAGAGCATGTGGAAATTTTTGGCAAGTAGTATACTACCCTCCCCGGTCCCACGCATGACCCCAGCCTTATACCACATGCTCAAAAAAAAAAAAAAAAAAACCTGCTAGGTATGATCAGACGTGTAAGGAACTTAAGAAATAACCCTTCTTCTGAACTGAACCTGGACCCCCACAAGAGCTTACATGCACCTCTCTAGAATGTTCTGTGTAGCCATTCAAACGAGGCTGAAACCAAGGTTTGTGAGTCAAGTAATCTTTGGTAAATGGCTTGCTATAAATATTCATTCTTGTAGTAAGAAAATAAGCAAATAAGATGGATAAAATTATGGAAAATAGTTCTGATTTAATACAATAAACAAACTGGAGTTACAGAGAATAGTAATGGAGTTACAGAGAATAGCACCCCATTTCATGAAAAACTTTTCACAAGTTTTTTCCATGCACAAAAGAGAATTCCAGTCATGAAGCATCAATGACACATTTAGAAAGCTAAGTAGTAATTCCATTATGCAATAAAGAAATTCCCAAATCACACTGCAGGTGGTGTTTAAGTCCATACATGCATGATTCTGAAGTATCTTGGCTACTCTGGCCATCCCAGAAGACTCAGGCACTTGGTCCCCTACCTTCCAGCATTCAGTCAGACCAGCTGCTGTGCTGGCAGCTTTAGTGCTGTGGTGTGTTCATTTTAACTGCAATCATACTGTCTCTTTACATCAACCCATATCATCACTGTGAGCATATCATCAGGAGTTGCATCTGCCTCCCCTGCTTCCTTCTTATACATCTCCCTTCCCTACAACATCTCATGTCATGGCAAAAGTGCAAGATGCCATAACAGGGAAATATCTACCTACAGTTCTCATGACATTTTTTTTATCTGTTCCACTTCTTTGTTATTGCCAACAAAAAAACCCAGAATTTGACAAGAATTTTACACAGGTTCATTTGTAGATACCGATTCAGTATCGCTTAAAGATGAGACAAGAACTACTTGTTTTGAATGTCTCATTCTCAGTGAAAAAAAGCTTAATCCTGCAAACAGTTAAGCATACAAATAGATCCCATGAGCACAACCCCTCTCAGATGACATCTAGAAACCTTTTTTATTTCTAGACATTAAATATAGCATGTGGATATTTAATTGTCTGTCTTTCTAAAATACAAGTAGTATTTCTATCTTGGTTTGGAGAATTATATTAAAAATTCTTCCTGTGTTTTATAGCTGGAATAGATACTGTCTGATATATACATATATTCTTAACATCAGCAGGTCTTTTTCTTGAACTGATTTCCAGGTTCCCCTGGACCATCCAGTGATCACAGCAGTGGAACTTCATCACCCCTCTTTGACAGTGGCTTACATTTAAATGGAAACTCAACTAACACGGTATGCAAATGAATAATAAAAGCAGGGTGGGTGTGAGCTCTATAAGTTCTTTTCCCATTTTGAGCTTCAAAATGCTAGAGTAAGACTAACCTAGTTGTTTTCTTGTTGTTTGCTTTGATCGATTTTTAAGTGCTTATACTGTAAAATTCTGTACTTACAAAGTCCACAACACATGACCCTGAACTGCTAGGTTTTTACTCTGAGACAGCTGAGACATTTGGAAGAGTGAGCACAGTAAGATTTAATCATTATTTAGACATGAATTCATGTGAACTTTTGTCAGACTTTGTTGCATTATACTGTTTAATTCAGCTGGAGATGCTGAAATGCAGGTGAAATTAAGAAAATAATGTAAAGTTGAATTCTTGAAGGAAACTTTTTTTTAATAGGAAAGATAGGGAGAAAAAGAGAAAGAACAAAAAGAGGGAAAAAAAATCTCTTTTTTTAACCCAGAGGATATTCAGTTCTTTTTTTCTGCAGTGAACAACTGTGATTAAATTAATTGCAGCATTGTGGGGAAAGAAAATAAGTTCTTTTCTCCAGGAAAAGTGGTAGTTACCAAAGAGCATAGGATGTCTTAGTAAGCAACAGTGCTATCCTTTTAGTAATGAAGATTGAAGATGTAAAAACTAGCTGTACAAGGACATGGACCTTCATGCTCAAAACCTGTTCAACACCTAACAAATCTCAGCTCTAGTCTTTCAGTTGGATATTAAATTATACAGAAAGAGTACCCTGAATGAATCCCATTTACCCTGAATGGACAGAAGGCTTCTCCTCTCTTTTCCTTTTTCTTCTTAGACAGTGATATAATTGTCTGATGCTTACTGTACTTCTCTCAAGCTTTGCACTTCTTTGAGCACTGTCTCTCTATACTGCTCCTTAAAGCTTGTTTTCATCGGTTAAAAATATATCCATGAATGATAGCATAAAGGCATAATGTAGAATAAATAAATAAATAAATAGAAATATGCTTCTGTGCTGATACTTGTACCGCAGTGTTTGGTGTCCACAATGGTCATAGATACAAACGGTTTCATGTTTATTTGCTTGCAGTTATCCAGATGATTATTAATTTGAACTGCCTTGTACTGTTGTCTTACTAAACAATCCAAACTTCAGGATCCAGCATTCTGCAATACCTGTCTACAAGGTTCTCTGCAGGCAAAGAAAGTCCTGTCTGCAAAGAGCTTACATTATAAGAAAAGGGCTATGGCAGTGATTGCATTAGCACATTTTAGTAAATTAGCACCTACTAAATACTAGAATGAGTGTGTTGTGATGATTTTTAAGAATCATTGTGACTACTGTGGGAATTGCATACTTGTAACTTCTCATAAGTGGCTGGAGTTTTGTAGACTTTTAACAGAGTAATTTAGATTTAGCACACAAGACAGCGCACAAAAGACTGCGTATAGGCTTGAAATATAAGCAGAAAAACAAAAATTAAAAAGGCAAAATAGTAAGGTGCTAAGTTGATTTTATACAGCACTTAATTTTCCTGAAGCCTGACATAAATTCACATGAAGAGCTATGTATAAAATAGACACTATGACCTAGAAGTGGAATAAACAGGGCAATCTACATCATAGATCATAAAAGTCATGCTCTCCCTTCACAGAAAACAAAATAAAAAATTTCTAGAATCTTATTGTGAAACGCAAAAGCATGGCCCTATGTATTTTGAGCAGAAATTACTGGATTTTGAGATGACACCTGTATGATTAAACTTTTCTCAAGCTGTGAGTGTCAGTGAGCTGTGATCATATCTTGAAAAGTGGTTATGAATGTGTTTCACCTACCATCTAGTGAGCACTTCTATTTTATTCAATTAAATATTTTCAGTTTTATGGTAAAGTAAAAGCAGAACTGACATTTCCTGTAATGCTAGTGCCTAATAAAACTAATGATATTTGATTCCTGCTTTTACATCATCTTGGCTGGGGAGATCTGACTCACTTTGAAGACAGCATCTTGCAAATTTGTGTTGTAGTTTTATGCACCTTCCTAACCACACTCAGATCCATGCCATAATACACAATGCACCTATATTTATAAGTGGAAATTCTACTTCAAAAACCACACCATGTAAAGGACAGGAGAGGAATGAGAGCTAAGGAATTACTCTTGTTCCAGTTTTACCAAGCTGTCATTTTGGATGTCTTCTGAAAAACAATACTGAGGCACTACAGTTGGCTTCTAGCATAGAGGCAGTAGTTTAGCCATCTTAGCAGCAAAACCTTTCAGCCTAATAGGATTGTACCATTTTCAGTTCTGGTACTGTCTTGCCTCTGTTAGACCTATCTCTGTCACCTCTGCTGTGAAGCATCTGCTGTATGTGATGTGATAGCATCTTCAGGATTTATATACATCTTCTGTAATATCAGAGCAGTTTGCAGTACAGCATTTTAACGTGGTTCTCTGAAACCCAGAGAAATGAGCTGAAGTGATCTCTTCACACCTGATTATTTTGTGCTTGGGCACTACTGTGACAAATGCTGCAGGGATTGACAGTGGCAGTCACATTCATCTGTACCTTATAGGTGGTTTATTGAACACAATGTGAACTTCCAGAGGGCAGCATGCAACATACAAAGGAGGTGGTCTCAAGGCTAGTGAGTACAGGTTGTTTACCTGGAGAGTTCTAACTCTAGAACAATGAAAAAGTGCTGTAGAGCTATCCTACCAGATGTCCAAATATCCTAGACATCCAGGCCAGCTCTCTGGAGAAATTAGTGGTGGAAAAAAAAATACTGTAAATAAAACAAATTACTGTTTAAGACACCATGGGATAATATGACAGTTACAATGCAAAGGCAGAATATAATAGGTTTTCATTTGTTTGAGAATCCGGCTTCCTGGAATTGTCTAAAAGTGATGTTCTAACAAGTGAAGCTAGACTAGAGTAAATTGTTGTTTTCCGTGTGTTCATGTAATTTGAGAACTCTAATTTTGATAGTGTGTGTTAAGGTTAGTTGGTTAGATGAAGCTAAACAGGCACTTACATTTTTCTAAATTGCTTTAAAATATTTTTCCTTGATGCCTTTGTTTTATCTGCTAAATTAAATTTTGCCTTTAGTTTTGCTTTAAAAAAGACATTTCCTACTTCATCATCAAGTTTTTAAAAAAGAAAAAATACAAATGCTCAGCTCTTGATGGGATACTAGAATGCTACATCTTCAATGTCTATGGTAGTCCTAGTTTCCAGAGTGAGAGAATGATACGACTCAATCCCAAGCACTAAATGGCAAAAAGAAAGAGGATTCAAGACAGGGAGGTGCACACCCTTGGGGAATGTATGACCAGAACACTGAATTGAGATTGAATTGATGTCCTACATACTAAAGCTTCAATACTCTTGCTTTTTTGAATATTCCTGTAGTGTCTTCCATTTTCATATAAACACCCCATTCTTAAAGCTTATTTTATTCTTTGGTTTTTGTCATCCTGTACCTTGCTTTAAGAAGAGAAACTTCAGAATTTCAGTTCAGTATCTTTTCTATTGGCATGATTTCATGTGTGATACCTGTTGCCTCTTCTAACTCTTGATCTGAAAATCCGTGATTTTCTCATGTAGTATGAAAGCAAGGTAACTCTGAATTGACTTCCAGTTCACAGTGTATCATTTGGCAATGTAAATTCATAAAATGGATAATGTAAAAAATACAAAAGAATCTCATGTAGACGTACACAATGGTTACTGTCATTAATCGTCACCATGTCTTCCATTTTTTGCTGAAGAGAAAGGTAAAACAGAATAAACACAGCCAGTAGTTTGGACTTCTGTGCTGAAGACCTTTATGAAATGAGATGAACACACCACAAATCAGTTTTCCTCAATTAATAAAATTTGAAATTACTATCCCTATTCTACCTCAGTGGAAGATAATCCAGATTTTCTGTTCCTGACTATACCTCTCAGAAATCCTAGCAATAGAAGCCGGAAGAAAACTTTTAAATAACACCTTCCTACTTCACTACAACAGAATTATAAGGAAAATCTTTTGGATTTACAAGGTTTATTTAGATTTAGCTGTACAGAAGTGCTGTATTTTTCTAATTGTGATTAGAGTTGATTGGCACTTTCACTATGACATAAATGAAGTGAATAAAAAGTATCTTTACAAGTCTTATCTTTCCTTTTATTAATGTCCACAGTCACTGCTAATCCTTTTAGCAGAGTTATTTCTTCCAGTATTTAACATTTGATTGATCAGCTTGATCGTTTCTTCTGCACAGAAATTCCCCAGTTTGTTAGGTATCTGGTTTTAGTTCTTACTTATATATATCTTCCCCATACACAGCCCTTGCATGTGAATACATTTTTGTTATAGTTCTTACGAATTTGCTCATTTCAAGCAAATTTTCAGCAGCAGCAGCAAAAAGGAAAATGTTTCTAAATTTGATGTTAGTATCAGGAAGTTCAGGTACATGTGAAATTATAGAGGAAACTGAGAGTGAAATTGAGGTAACACGTTTTCCCTCTAAGCCGCATTCAGTGTCTTTTCACAAGCTCCAGCAACAAATTGACACTGATGTCAGAGAGAGAAGCAAGAGTCAAAGCTCAAATTTATCCTGAGGGGTGTGCAGACTGTGTGAAATTCAAAGAGTTTCCCTAACCTTGAGCTAATTTTTGTAAGCCAGGACATCATGCCTCATTTGGGGATATGAAAGGCTGACAAAAGCTGCATCTAACGGCTGAAATTTGAGTACACTTGAATTTATAGTGTAAAACTATAACGATCTCAACATTGTATCTTTTCCTTATATACATTTAATGTTGATGGTTTTGATTTCTGACTGCTATTGTAGTTTTTGAGCAGTCATAATTACTTTCTACTTTTTGTGCTGAGGTTTAATATAAACTACTCTGGTCCCTGTCCCCTACATCCAAAGGAAGAATATATCTGGAAAGGTGTTCCAGGCGAGGTTGTTGAGGTTACTCAGAAACCAATTACATACTAGCTCAAAGGAAACAAATTAAAGAAAAATGTGCAAGA